GAAATAAAAAATTCCTTTTGAATAATTACTATGTGTATTTTATATAAAGTCGAATACTCTCCAAGGAATGCGCTCATCCCTTGATATCAAATATACTCTACTTGACATCCAAGCACAGCACATAAGACTCATGCAACTACAACCGATTCCTTTTAATATAAAAGGTTTGTCCACAGCTGCTAATACATGTGTCTGTGATAGTTGTGCTGCTTTTTCGGCTGGTTCCTGTGATGCTGTTGATGCCGCGGGATTGGTTGGCCTGGCTTCGTGACCTCTGGGACTGATGAGGTTGAGAAGAGCGTCTGTTCCCTGAGGGTTTTCAAGTTAATTTCCGCAGCTTTGATCAACTGTGAAAGAGGAGAGAGAAAAGGGAATTAAGTTTATAAGTGAGACAACTTATCATTTTGCACTGATCAAGTGAGGGGGAAAAGAGAAAGTGGAATGTGCCATAAATACACACTTTTGATAATTCCATGCAAAGAGGGAATTTTGCATCCATCAACTGTGAGGAGGAAGCTGAGAAGGACAAAATGGATAAACATTCAAACAAAAATGAGATTTTAGCTTCTTGTAATAAGATGTAAAAACAAAGAATTGATTCATATTACCTTCTTTGTCAAACTAATTCAAGAGCTCCTCAAACTAGACATGAACATACAGTTTTCTCTCATGCGTATAGATTCTATATCTAATGATTACAAGGTCTTTTCCAATATACAAAAAGTGGCTTACACTGGCAGACGTTTCATCCCCGTTTTTGTAGCTATAATCTGCAAGAGGCTTCAAGAACATGTTGATGATTCTTAATGCCAAGTTTGCATCTTCTTTGTTCTTCAGTGAGCACGAAGCCTGTGGAATAAGGATCATACACTTAGAAATTTCACTTCTAATCTGATGATTAATAACATGCTTTACACACTTCTTATGGATACCAGCTTAGTAAGGTATATATCTTCTAATGTCATTACTTTGGAAACTAGAAGACAATGATTAACATAAGAAAAAATCTTTAGCTATAACTGTGTTCTCCTCACATGAATCTTTTGTTGTAACCTATAAACATTACTTCTTGGTATAATGTCAGACATCTGAGAAGTCTAACCTTCCTACATTACCATCAATAAAAATAAACACTGTAGACCTTATTCTGCCAAGTCTGTCATGCAAAAATCTGTCATGAATGATTTATATAACTCACAAACTACAGATGTTTTATTACTTTGGCAATAATTAATAATCATATAGAAATATTCAAAATATATGCCTCATCTTCCATTTTTCAATCAAATACTAACCAATTTATGAAGCATTGTTCCTACGACACCATGGAGTGTAACTTCTTGTGTTCCAGGTACAGTTTGCGAAGAATCTCTTGTGTAGTTTCTGTCCCGAGAGTCGGACCACGAATTTGCACTGTCATAGCCATCCTGTACAGGACCCTCCCTGGAGAAATAAGCAAAGTAAAATGAACCATTTATATAGCAACAAATTGATAATCAATATACACAACACAAAAGACAAAATATACTTGTGAAGTAATCCAAATCAATATACATGCTTTCTGTGACAATCATACATTGCTTTTTGATGAGAAAAAGACATTTTTCTTTAAAAAATGTAAAATACATTACCTATAATCTCCATATGGAGCTTCCCCAGGATTTTCTCTTGAAGATTGTGGATTTTCTCTTTTACCAAGTTTACCTTGGAAAAAAAAGACAAGTTATTAAGGCACTGTGAAGTTTACTTATATAAAATTGTAAATAATTAGATTTTATTGTTCCATACCAGGTGAACAACACTAAAAACACAGAAACAAATGAAATGAAATGCTGCAAAAAATTAAGTGATGGTAAAAATAAAAGAAGAAAGAAAAATTTAGTGCATTTAGTGGCAAAGTTAAATACCAGCTAATTAGGATGAGAAATACTATCTCAAGACATACCATTATTCTACAGAATTTTAAGGAAAAAAAATTATCCATTTAGAAAGTCCAACTTCTTTAATACTCTCAAGAACTTCATAAAATAAGAAAATCTGTCCCATTTTCTTCTACTTCAAAGAGAAAAGAGTAAGATAAATATACAGTGGGAAAGATAGATACACAGTCAGGAAGTCAGATACTTAAATTTAGGGGGCGAGGGAAAATAAAATGAATAGAGTTAAAACAACACAATTGCACTCATGAACTCACTATCATATCTTGAACTGCGCTCCTGGCTAGAGAAGTGATCACCGTACCCAGAATCCCTGTTCCAATCTCGGTCGTGGGAATTCCGTGGGTTGAATTTAGAGTATGGGGTGTCCTTCTCTCTTGGAGGTCTGTCTCTTGATGGCCGGTCTCTGTATGGACGGTCCCTGTTGTTCCGGTTTCCAGAATAGTGAGAACCCTCCTTGTGCGAGCCATCCCTGGCATTTGAAAAACTGCTGCTACAACAAAGAAACCTGCTTTAGACCCAGTTTTGGGTTTTATGTATATGCTTACCCGAAAATAATTCTACACAAACATAATACAAAATAACATATCATATTTAAGATGTATAATCCACAGATGCCACAGTGCCACAGGAAATCTTCAGCCTTTATACCTGAATGAATTTCAACTCTACAAACATTTTTCCTTTATTTGATCTCTGAAACAAAATGGCTGGCCAATTGATAGCCTAAACAAACTTAGCCAGTATAAATCCACAAAGGGCATCCCTCCCTCACCTCTGGAAAGACGACCCCCTAGAGGAGTTATCCCTGCCGTCTTCATAGCTGTAGTTATAGCCACCTCCCTCATAATTACAATTGGACCCTCCACGGCTGAACTGATGTCCTCTGCCTGTCTGCTCGGGCGGATGCTGCTCTCCATGTGAGCTTGACTGGCGGTCTCTAGCCCTGTGGCCTGTGTGGTAGTTGGTGGTGCCGCGCTCAAAGTGCCGGTCACTCCCATTCCTTCCTGGATGGTGGTTAGGACGACCTTTACGGGACTGGTCGGCATAGTCATGTGTTCTTCTGCCATCTGTCATGCTTCTCCCTAAATTGGCCCCCCCCAAAAAAATGAAAGAAAGAAAGAAAAAACATTAGTGGCACAAAAAATATCCCTTCAGTGATTGGTACATCTTTGGCCATCTTGACGTAATGGCCTATGATGTATATATGTATCATGACTCACAATGGGTGAGCCGGCTGTACACAGCTTAGGCCTAGCCTCAAAGTCTAGACTGTTGTGTAATATTACACTGCAAAAAATACAGTCCCCGTCATGGTAGGGTTAAAATCATTCCTGTCATATGTCTCGCTAGAAAAAATGGGTCTATACTGATTTATCATAACTGTTATTGCTGCTGATGTAAAAAGGATAACTCTGTCCTATCAGACTCACAAATTACTATTACAACTATCAAAGATATTATGTCTCTTCTCAGTTTAGAAGACACAAATAAACTCATAAAAAAAATATTTGATGGTTTATTCTACATAACAAGGCCATTTCAAAGACGAAATCCCTTATTACCCTTACCTGCATCTTTGCGTTCTTCCCTCATCCCATCAAGCCCGTCCTCAGCAGTGTACTCCTGAATATCACTCCATCTGGTGATCTCCTGTGGGCCGTATACTGCTTCATCCCGCTTGGATCGCTTCCCATCAAACTGGTCCTCGTAATCTGTCTCGCGTTTCTTTCCGAGGGAGGCTCTCCTCTCATTACCTCCTGTGTGGTGGTTAGAGGACAAGACTGAATTCTCTTGTTAAAGCATGCATTTGTAATAATAAAGAAAAGTAAAGGAGGAGGAGGTAGAGCAGGCAGAAGAGGATTAAGAGAAGAAGAAAGTGGAAGATAAGACACGGGAAGAAAAGAAGACAGGAGACAGAGCTGGAAAAAAAGAAAAGGAGGTAGACGAGAAGGAGAGAAGGAAGAGGAGTTGGGAAAAGAGAGGCAGGGAGAAGGAGGAGGAGAGAGGAGGAGGAGGAGGAGGAGGAGGAGGAGGAGGAGAGAGGAGGAGGAGGAGGAGGAAGAGGAGGAGGAGGAGGAGGAAGAGGAGGAAGAAGAAGAAGAGAAGAGAGGAGGAGGAGGAGAGAAGAGAGGAGGAGGGGAGGAGGAGGAGGAGGAGAGAGAGGAGGGAGGAGGGAGGAGGAGGAGGAGGAGGAGGAGGAGAGGAGGAGGAGGAGGAGGAGGAGGAGGAGGAGGAAGGAGGAGGAGGAGGAGGAAGAGGAGGAGGAGGAGGGAGAAGGAGGAGAGGAGTAGGCAGTAGGAGTAGGAGTAGGAGTAGGAGCAGAGCAGAGTAGAGCAGCAGCAGGAGGAGAAGGAGAAGAGAAGGAGGAAGGAGAAGGAAGAAGAAGAAGGAGGAGGAGGAGGAGAGAAGGGAAAAGGAAAAAGGAAGAAGGAGAAGGAAGGAGGAGGAGGAGAGGAGGAGGAGGAGGAGGAGGAGGAGGAGGAGGAGGAGGAGGAGGAGGAGGAGGAAGAGAAGAGAGGAGGAGGAGAGAAAGAGGAGGAAGAGGAGGAAGAGGAGAGGGGAGAAGGAAGAGGAGGAGGAGGAAGGAAGAGGAGGAGGAGGAGGAGGAGGAGAGGAGAGGAGGGGAGGAGGAGGAGAGGAGAGGAGGAGGAGGAAGAGGAGGAGGAGAAGATGGAGAAGGAGAAGAAGGAGAAGAAAGAGGAAGAAGGAGAAGAAGAGAAGAAGGAGAAGAAGGAGAAGAAAGGAGAAGTAGGAGAAGTAGGAGAAAGGAGAAGAGAGGAAAGGAGAAGGAGGAAGTAGATAAGGAGCAATGCAGGAGAAGAAAGAAAAGAAATAAACAAAACAGGGGTATTTATAAATAATAAGACCATATGAACAAAGACAAAAAAAAAAAAAAGACCCAAGAAAAGAACCACCTGTTCAGTAAATCAGTCTGCAAAATAACATGAATGGTGTGATTAGATAATGAATATTATATCAACAATCTATGGATAAAAAAAACACCTGCAACATTGCCGAGTTCCTAAGAATCTAAAGGAAAGCTCCCTCAGGACAATAATA